CTTTACTTTCTTACTTACTTACTTACTTTACCTTAGCTAATTAGGTTTGCATCTTGTTGTGTTTCCTAAGGATGCCCAACATGGGGCATGAGGAGACAACATTTGTGATTGTCCAAAAATTGCACAAACAGATTACAAGATTAGACATGATGGAGTGGCAAAATTAGTGCAATGGACATGGTCTTAAAGACATAAATATATAAATTGTGTCTGATAAATTAGTCTATAAACACTAGCTTCTACAGAGCATTACAGCTAAAAAGATATTTGAACCCAGGCCCCTCTTGTATAAATCCAGTAGTGTGACTGTTACGACACATTGGCTTTAAATGTTTATTTATTTATTTATTTATTTTAGTGGTAGCACGTAGTCACTGTAAGCAGGTTTTCAGGATGGCTTCTGCTTAGTGGTTCTAATAAGAAAACGATTATTAGAGTATAGAGCTTAATTTTTTTTCCACATAAATGTCCAAGCCCAGAGAGGAAGTGGAGGGATATAGATGGGGATACTCCCCTGTTTCTAGTCCTGTTGTGCAATTCAGCAAAGAGATCTGCCTTTCTTCACCCATCCTCAGCCCACAAATAAATTTGGAGCTAATCTTTTTAACCCCACCGGGTGTCTTCAGCAGGCTTATGTCAGTTTTTGACAGGGTACGGTAAACAAACTGTAAACACTGAAACCAAAGGGGATAAGAGACTGTCATTTCCTTTGCAAAAGATATGGCAAATAAGGAGCAACAGAAAACTAGATGCTCCCTCCTCAGAATCAGGAAAAGCTTAAGCAAGCTCATTAACAAGTCTGGCGTAAAATTGTGAGGACTTAGCAGGGGCTTGTGACAGCTTGAGGGCAGCTTAGAAGCGAAAACAGCAAGAATCCTAGAGTGCTCCAGGGCTCAGGGTCAAAGCAGAGAAGATACACTTGCTATACTTTCAGAACAGGTAACCTCTCAAGTGATTAAAAAAATATCTGTTTCATCATGATTTTCCTTAAATACATTATCTCCTTTTTGATTGGCTATTGGAAGGTAGATAGGGGCTTAACTGCCAATTCATCTCAGAGGGCAGGACACCTAATAATGGGCTCAAGCTACAGAAACCCAGAATATCAGTAAAAACATAACTGTTAGAACAGTAAAATAGTGGAACCAATTACCTCAGGAGGTGATGACAACTCCAACACTGGAGGCATTCAAGAGAAAGTTGGACCGCCACCTATCAGAACTGCTTTGATTTGGATTCCTGCCTTGAGCAGGGGGTTGGATTCAATGGCCTTGTAAGTTCCTTCCAACTCACTTGTTCTTTGTCCAGTTCTTCATGACCCCATGGGCCAGAGCACACTGGGCCTTCCTATCTTCCACTGCCTCCCGGAGTTGGGTCATATTCATGTTGGTCACTTTGATGACACTGTCCATCCATCTCATCCTCTGTTGTCCCCTTCTCCTCTTGCCTTCACATTTTCCCAACATCAGGATCTTTTCCAGAGAGTCTTCTCTTCTCAGGAGATGGCCAAAGTATTGGAGCCTCAGCTCCAGGATCTGTCTTGTGCATAAGCTCTTGTTGTTTAGTCGTGTCCGACTCTTTGTGACCCCATAGACCAGAGCATGCCAGGCCCTCCTATCATCCACTGCCTCCTGGAGTTGGGTCAAATTCATGTTGGCAGCTTCAGTGGCACTGTCCATTCTCCTCTTGCCTTCACACTTTTCCAACATCAGGATCTTTTCCAAGGAGCCTTCTCTTCTCATGAAATAGCCGAAGTATTGGAGCCTCCCACTCTATCGTCATTAGAAAACCTTCCACTCTTGGCTGTTCTCCTTCCACCTTCTCCCTAGCCTGGCCTTCTTCTAAAGACATCTCTCGCATTCCTAGGGTTAAATTAAATAACATGGTGTCGCCTCCTTCTGCCCGAGATGATTGAGGGGATGGCTCACTTCCAGGAAGGACCATTTTAATCAGTTCCTCTTCACACCGCCCAAGTCATGCAAGATTACAGACAGTTGGGTTTGAAGAGCATGGCTGGCCTAAAATCAGCCAGTGAGTATTGCAATCGAGTAGACGACTGAATTTGGACATTTCAGGCCATGTCTGTCACTCAGTGACATATCGTAGTATCCTTTATGTCTGGGGCTGTTAGATTTCCAAGATGAGGATCAATAGGTGTTTACCAAAACAGAAGAGAGAGTATGTAGTGAAGTGTCTGTTGGGGTTTGCATATCAAAGGAGTTTTCACGTAGAATTAACATCTCTATTGCATGTGTGTGTAACACGATAATTTCCATTGAATTCTGTGTAGTTGAGATCATGATCATTTTCCTGTTTGTGTGGTCATTCACTCCAGGGTACAAAGAGACAGGATTATCATTCAGAGGCCTTGCTATGAAGGGCTGCTTTACTTATTTCCAGTTGCTCATGTAAACAGAAACTGCTTTCAGAGGTCTTCAGAGCCACTTGGATAAGGAGTTGGAACAGTTAGTGTTTTGACATAGAACGAAGTGAAGATTGCACCATCATGGCATCAACAAATCTTCAGATAGTATTGTGAATCATATAGAAGAGTGAAAGAAGCATCCAAATTTGCTTCCAACCAACCAGAGTTCTCTGAGACACTTTGCTGGTACCAAGGGTACGTTTTATCTGTGGTCAATCTGAACGGTGTGTCAGAATCATGATCCATTGTTTGAACTATACTTTTTCAGACAACTCGTAGTGAAAACTGGAGATGGGCATGAACCACCAGTTTATTGCCCTGCAGCACCCAGAGAAGGCAGGGCAGGGAAGCCAGGCTGCTTGCTTCTACATTGGGTGCCCAATGGAGGAGATGAAGCTTTGAAGAGCCAAACAGGCAATAAGTGAACTGGCATAAACAGCTGAACTGGTGATTCGCGCCCATCTCTAGTGAAAATTGATCCCACTTCATCCTGGTTTGGATAAAAAGACAAGACTGTATTTAGTTGAAAACTGAATGCTTCCAGTCTCTTGCAGCCATTCCAGAAGAAGAAATGTCTGGAATTGTCTCTGAGCGCAGCCTGAATTGGTTTAAACTTGAGCTGTTAAGTGTTAATTTTATTTTGTGGTTCTTGACTTGTTGCTGATATTTCTCGCTCTCGTTGTTAACTTTGGGTTTGGCTTTCCTTCCCCAACATCTTAACACCATTGCCGTCACCACCATCTTTTTTGGGCGGATGATTCGATATAACAAGTCTGCAAGAAACCTACGAAGCCAAGAGAAATGAATTCCTGGGTGAGCTCCAGAAAAAGGAAGAAGAGATGAGGCAGATGTTTGTCATGCGGGTGAAAGAGAAAGAAGCCGAGTTGAAAGAAGCAGAAAAAGAGGTAATTGGATCTGGGGAGGTGGGGAATGGATTGCAGCTGTAGGGGGTTGGCTTGGGAACATTAGTGGTTCCATGGAGTTCCTCCCTACGCCGATTTTTAGCTTGATTTTGATGCCCACCTTGATTCCTTTTGGGGAGACACTGCCTGGTCCAGACCTGAGGTCCTTCATAACCAGACCTGAACCTAGAGCTCATCATCATCATAGGGATCATAGGCATCCTTCAGTCTCAAAAGACTATGGTAACATGCTCTGAATCAAGGAGTGTCCTCTCCAGAGCATGAAGCCTGGGTAAAGTAATATGGAAGATGGGCTGTTGTCCAAGCAGCAGATCCCCCCTCTCCACGTTGCTGAAATGGTCCAATGGAAAGGCAAGAGCCAATACAACTGGTTCCAGCGACGTTGCAGGAGTTGACAGAATGACAGGAACTGCCTCCGGGACTCCAGCTCCGGATTGTTGAGAGCTAGAGACTGGGATTTAAACTTCAGGAGACAGAAGCTATTGTTCCACTCCTCCAGCAGAGCCTGGCTCCTGGTATTTAACACAGCCAAGCTACTTGCCAATCAGAATAGTTGATGTTTCACATCCCTATTGCCTTTTTGCACCAAAAGAGGGCAAGTGGGGCGCCAAGCACAAGTGGCCATGTGCTGATTGGGCAGGGATTGTGGGAATTGTAGTCCCTGTTAAGTAACCTTTCCAAGTTCTGGCGTTTCTGTCACTCGTGATTTTTTTTCTCCTCCCTTCTCCCCCCCCCTTTTCTGAACTCCCCCTCCTACCTTTCCGCGTGGGCAGCTTCATGAGAAGTTTGACCACCTAAAGCGGACTCACCAAGAAGAGAAGAAGAAGGTAGAGGACAAGAAGAAAGACCTGGAGGAGGAGCTGAGCAATTTCCAGAAGAAAAAAGCAGCAGCGCAGCTTTTACAGTCACAGAGTCAACAGGCTGGCTCTCAACAAACCAAGAAAGAGAAAGACAAGAAAAAGTAAGACGTTGCCCCCCCACGCTCAGCTCTGTGGGTTTCTGTTCCGGTGTGCTGTCTTCTGTTGCATGTCTGTATTTGCTTCTTCCCATTATCAGACTGGAAACTGGGCTTCCCTCAACTCCCGCCTTTTAAATCCAGAGTGAATTTTAAATATATATACGTTTATATATATATATTTAAATATATAAATACGTTTTTTCTAAGAGACAAGAGGGATAGGTGGGGTGGGAATACAGCTTTGATTTTATTTTTTTAACCACATAGGGTACCTAAATACTATTTTGCAAAGCTGGACTAGTTTGACCGAAGAAGTGAGAGAACACTTGGAAGGTGGAAAACCGAACGCACCATCCGAGAGTTGGCTAGACTGAGTTTGTAATAGCCACGAAGTTCCGTTGGCTGTGCTCAACAATTCCACATTCTTTCCCCATGATGCCCCTATAGTCCTTGCTGATTCCCCGAACCCCAAATCGTGATGGGTGATGTAGATGTGACATTACCTTAGGTTTACCACGGGTTAAGGGACCAAGACTGGGAGATGGGATTGTGATTCAGGATTTCCATAGCCGAGACAAGAGTACACACAAAATTGTATTACTTGTGGCTGAGGAGGGGGGGGTATGTGTGTATGAAAGTTGCCCCTGAAAGAGACGAGCCTCACAAGATCCTGTGACCCAATCACATCTTTGAAAAGTTCACTTTCTCGATTATATCTCCCAGAATCCCCTAGTGGAAAACAACTCTGATTGCTGGCTGACTGAAGAATTGTGAGGAGGGTAGTCCGAAAAGTAACTTTCCAAAGGTCGGACTCAAGTCTCTTAAATATACTCAACATTCCTGCTAATATTATATTCACACCAGCCAGAAGCGTCTTTAGCATAGACTCCCTTAGTGCCAAACATATTTGACAAGTAGGAGTTACAATCTGTGTTACCTCTAGTTATGTGAACGTCTCTATGTAGTGCCAGTTTTATATCTTAGATAGATAACAAGAGTTTTGTTGAATGTGCGGATACAGCCTTGAAATACCTGTGTGTATGGTGGGGGAATAAGTTTCTGGCATCCGTGCTATGAGATAGAATCCCACATTTGTACTGAAACCTTTGCCACCCCGATAAAGGAGGTGGAGAAAGGGATTGAAAAAGGCTTTCTTCCATTGTCAATGATGAGATGTGCTGTGTATGTGGGGTCTCACACAATGCACAGGGTTTTGAGAAGGTCCAACTATTTATTAGTGACTTTTTAGAAAGCATTCAGAACACTGTTGAAATTCAAGCCATGGGGGAGAAGAACATAGCCAGCATTGGCCCCATCCACAGGATCACTATCCACTGATTTCATGTATCCATTGCCAGAAAAGACTAAAGGGAAAAAAAAACCCCAAGAATACTAAAGAAAAAAAATACTAAAGAAAAAACCTGGAAATATATATTTCCAGGGTATATTTACCAGAAGTGGTTACTAGAGGGAGCCATAGACCATGCAATTTATGGTAGGACCCACATATTTCCTGGGGATTTGTTCCAAACCCCTCCGTAGATACTAAAAACTGTGGATAATAACGAATATATAGCTATATATATGCTATATATAGCATGGTATAAGGGGGGAAAACAAAGAAAAATATTTTTTACATCCATCACCAGAACTTGGCACTAAACAGTGCCAGAAATAATGCTATGTAGTCTTCACTAACATTTATTCATAGCACGGTCTCTGGCTTCTGGTAATACGTGAAAATAGGGTGTTTTTTTCTGTATTTTTTCATGGCTTCTGGTAATACGTGAAAATAGGGTGGTTTTTTTTCTGTATTTTTTCTTTTAATATTTTAATATTTTCAGACTGTTGATAATTGAAACCACAGATATTGATATATCTGGGGGTCCTTCTATATAGTGTTTGATATTTCCACATTTTTCAGCATTTATGGGAGTGGCCTTGGAACGGATCCCCATGGACACTGTGGGACTACTGTACTTTTAAAAGCTATGTCCTCTTTGGAGAAGTGTAACAATCACATGTTCCCTTCCAAATTCAATAATTTCGTTTGCCGTATAAAACCTTGTGACAAAAAAAGAAGCGTTTGTAAATTCAGGAGGGAGAGAAAATAGATATATTTTGCACGATTGTGCATCATAGAATGAGACGAGCAGCCGAATAACAAGAAAGCAATAGGTGCAGTTCTATTGCAACCTTGACTATATTTTTTCAAGATACAGTCACCTTCCTTAAAAGCTTAATACATCCCAGTGCCCCACATCCACTGTCTGACGTGATTGTTCTGTCCTAATACTGGTGGCAGCCAACGCCTCTGTCAGTTCCATTATGATTCTGCTTATGTGCATGTAGCACTACAAACATACTGCCTGAAGGGGAACTGGCCTCTGTGATTGGGATACAGCAGCCACAAGGATTGACAGATATACAGAGAATGCTAGATTGCCACCTGACTAGGGTGTGTGCATGTAAGGCATTGCCAAAGGAATCAAAGGTTTCAGAAACAGCAAGGTGCAAAAGATAAATATACTTATGTATTCTAGGACATGCACTCCATTGTTATTTTATTGTTTTAAATTGTACATCACTTTGAGCATGTTCTGGAGGACAGAAAAGTGATTCATAAGTACTTCTAATAAGTACTTCTAATAAGTACTTCCATCGGAAGGATGGAAGGCTGAGTCAACCTTGAGCCGGCTACCTGGGATTTGAACCCCAGGTCGTGAGCACAGTTTTAGCTGCAGTACAGCGTTTTAACCACTGCGCCACGAGGCTATATATATATATATATATATCCTTATTAGAAGTACTTATGAATCACTTTTCTGTGGCTATAGCCACTAAAAATACTTGCTATGGGCCAAGCCTTGCTTTATTTAGCTGCAATAATAGTCAAATGAGAAGCAAGTGATCAGATTCTTGGTGTTGCAGAACTTGCAGTCATTACTGCCAGTTGGTGCTGTAGCTCTGTCTTACATGATGATGCTGCTTGTTAATCTTGGCCACCACCATGTCTCTCTGTAAGTGATTGGCATTTTGGTTCAGAGATCAGTTATCTACAAAAACACGTGGTACGGAGTTGATCCAGTTCTTCTTTCTCGCACTTGTGGTGATGGAAGTTGGTCCACTGAAAGTTGTCTTAGCGCTCCAGTTGCTTGCAAGACCGCCCCGGGCTGCATGCCAGAGTTCATTTCAATGCATAGCCTTCTTGGGTTTTAAATAAACTCTTCCCTGTGATCACAGATCTAAGGGGAGGGCAGGAGAAGCTTTGAAAGCTAGTTGGTGATGGCTAGACGGTGGGGTTGGGATTAGGTTCCCAGGCTGATGGTTCCCCTCTCCTGCTGTCAGCAGCATAGCCAGGCACCATGAAGTGGCACATCCATGTTTCTGTGAAACAGGTACACCTGACAGGAGGACAGCACCTTATGCATCTGTTGAAAGGAACTTGAGTTCATGAAAACTCATGTTGCAATAAGTGTTTGTCTTTAAAGTTTAAAGAGCAGAGTAAGGTCAATTTTGATAATTTGTCTTGTAGGGGGTGGGACCGTATGTATATCAAATTTATTTTTGTAAAATGAAGGATTCTTTGAAAGAGTAACTATTTTTTATGAAGCTGTGTTTTACATGGAAGAAACACTATTTTTCTTATAAAATTTTGCCCAATGGAACTGTGCCTTGTCTTAAGTATGAGGGGTGATTGTTTGACCTTGTTAATAGGGTCTGTCTCTGGACAGGTCTGCAAATACAGTGGTGCCCCGCTTAACAATTGCCCCGTTCCACGACAAATCAGCTTAACGATTATTTTTTGCGATCATTTTTGCAATCGCAACACGATGTTCAGATAGCCTCCCCCCCAAAAAAACACAACACTTTATGATGATCAGTTCCCTGCTTTGGCAACTGATTTTTCGCTTTACGATGATCGAAACAGCTGATCGTTGGGGTTCCAAAATGGCCGCCCACTGTTCAAAATGGCTCCCCGCTGTGTTAGGGATGGATTCTTC